GTAAGTGTTCAACTTTTCATATGCTTGTTGTACTGTGCCCGTAGATTAGCTGCCGACAAATATGAACGCGATTCCTTAGCTACCAGGATCTAAGCTTCAAACAATTCATCTGAGTTTGACAGAAGCAAATGGACCTCCCCTAATTATGCTTAGGTGAAGAGCACCAGTAGAAACAAAACGCGCTTCTTTCACGAGCGTTTTTCGGATCTTGTCATCTTCCGCCATACATTCATGTGCGCCACCGAAGTGTATGCGCTGTTCGTTGCATACGTTCAAGTTTAATATGAGGACGTTTAAACTTTGAAAATCATGCGTCTCGTCAAAGAGACATTGTCTCTACTACTGATGATCAAGTATTGAAGATACTTCCATTACTTATTGATTTGATTCTGCTTTCTTTGTCTACTAAACGTTAGTTAAAAAGTGTTGTCTTTATGGTGCATCTTATTAATCTTAAAAAGGTGTTCTGTGAAACAGTTCTCAGTGTAGTTTTGTTTTGGTTGTTGTCAAACATATGTGAACAGTCTGAGCAAAATTCTAAAAGCTTAACCGTCCTTCTCAAAGTTTTTGAAATCTGTGTCTTTTTTATTTTGAATTACATCACAATTACATTGTTTCATTGCTCCTGTTCACAGTTCAGAGTTCAGGGCCTGCTGAAATGCAAACTTGTTTTTGCACTTGCTGTTGTTCGCATGCGTTTGGTTCATACAATAAGACATCAACATTATAGTTATACACAATTTTAATGATATTTATAAGTGATTTTGACTTCCTTTTAATTGCGACTATCAGACGCTAAGCAAATCATCAGTTTTTACATAAGTTTCTTCCAGAAAGCACTATGTTGTAGATATGTAAACGCAAGACGCCGAATATGAGTTGGCAATTATCTGTGGGAAAAAACTCTCATGTGAAAGCGCCACTTTCTGCCCATATACTGCGGTGCTTTTTGTCTAAGAAAAAAGTGATGCCGACCTTGCAATTCATGATATTCACTTCACCAGCATCAATTTGATTTGGTGATCGGTCTGCTCCTTAACAAATGCCTTGAGTGCTAAAGTTCTTTAATTCCTCTTTTTCTCTTGGTTTTCCTAATTTCTCACTCAAAACTGTATTGCATTCTGGCAACATGTATAAGCATTGTAAAAGCATTTTTTTTTGCAGAACGACCATGCCGTTCATCGCCCCTCATGGTCAATTCGTGGCGTGGATGCAGAAGCGGATCATCTTTGCATTTTATGGTGTAATGAACTAGTTAGGTGAGATATCTGTAACTGTGTAAATTTTATCTTCAAATTTTCTTTTTGCGCTTTCCTTTGATGCTTTTCTTCATGGAGGATTCTTCATCAGCCTGGCTCCACGCATTTTCCATCCTCCTTTTAAGGCTGCTCTGAACGTAGCTTCCACATGTACTTCGTAATGGGAGGTCTCAACCGCTTCTCGCGCTAGTCTATGTGCGTTATTAGACCAGCTAAAAGCATACATGCAATGCGCCAGTTGTTGGTTATCAATATGTTATGTCTTTA